AGGGAAAAGGGAAAACGGTAAACTTAAGTAACCGAACTAAGTACCGTACCTATATACTACGACGACGTACGTACCTACCTACGTACGTGTAGGACGTCTACTACTACAACTAGTCGATACTCCTCCTCTCTCTCTCTCTCTCTCTCTCTCTCTCTCTCTGAGTAAGAGAATAAGAATAATGTTTTATTTTTATTCATCCACCCAAAAAAAAACAACACAATGTTCCAACAACATACCTTGTGTTTAAAAAAGCCAGACGCCAAGGGGCCTTAGGACGCATGCCTAAACCTGGATGCACCTTCCTGGGCGCCAGCCCAGGCAAGCACCTAGGTGGGCGCGCAAGGCTGTGGGCTAACCTAAGGGCAATTGCGGTAATTTTGACTTACGAAATTGTTTAAAAAGAGTGTGTGAGGTAGTTTAAACCCCCCAAACTAAAAAAAACAAACTCCACAACGTTAAATTGATTAATTACGCCCATTTCTTAGAATCGAAAAAAAAAATTGAGGTTTGAAGAAGCATCCGAAGCTTATCTTTTCTCATTGGAATTATTTTTTGGGAACAAATGGAGGTATGAGAAGACTTTTGAGTTGAATTGTAGCTCGATTGACATCACAAAATCAGGTAAACTGTTAGTTTATAATCTGTATTTGAGTTTCCTTTTTCAAATTTGCGATGTCTTCTACATCGTCTACTAGGAGTGGGGATCCGGGATGAAAGTATTGTGTTAACCCAAATAAAAATGACAAAAATAAATTATATACAATTTTTGTAGACATCTTTCTAATGTCGACATAAATAGATTCAAGAAACATCTTACCGCTTTTAGAGGTGATGTTGCCCCATGTAAAAAAGGTTCTCAAACTTGAACAGAGATTTTTGAGTACATAGAAGCTGAAATAAACAGAAGATTAACGAAGGAAACGAATATAGCTGAATTGTGTGCAGGGATCCATATATTTTATGATGATGTTGACACTGATGAGAATCAAAATGGAGAAGAGGAGTTAGGTCAGGTGGCAGTTGCTCAGAGGGCCCGTATGAAAGGGCCTATTGATACTTTTTTTACACCTAAACTAGATACAATAATTGAGAAAAGGAAAGGTAAGGTGAAAAGATAAGTGACACTTGAAAACAGATTTAAGAAGGAAGATAGAGGCCATGTAGTTCAGTATACTGTTTGGAGGTTTTACCATGCGATATTTCTTTTAATACTGCTCACATGAATAATTTTCATACAATGTTAGAAGCAATTGAGCAATTTGGGCTAGGTTTAAAAGGTCCAGCTTTATATGAGCTTAGCGAACAACTATTGAAGAAAGAGGTTGAAGTCACTAAGGAATATCTCAAAACCCATAAGGATAGGTGGGCTCAATTTGGATTCCATAATGACCGATTTATGGAGTGAAGGGAGTAGTACCATGAATTTGTTGATAAGGGGCATTAAGGAGGTTCAGGAGGAGCATGTAATTCAATTAGTCATAGATAGTGCTACTCCTAACTTAGTTGCGAGTCATTTGCTTCGTTAGAAGAGGCCTTGCATGTTTTGGACCCCTTGCACTGTACATTGCATCGATCTTATGCTTGAGGGCATTTGTGACATGTCTACTATTAAAGGAATTCTTTTTAAGGCTAAGGAGGTTACAGTCTTCATATACAGCCACACGATTATCCTTAGCATGATGTGCAAGTTTACATGGAAGAGGGACCTAGTGAGAACCCAGATCACTAGATTTACCAATGGCTACCTTAGTCTTAAGAGCATGTATAAAAGGAGGATCCCATTCAGGACTATGTCTGCTTCAGAGGATTGGAGTAACGCAGGTGGTCTAGAGATACACGGGATATTATTCTTTCTAAATATTTTTGGCATGGGGTAAAGCATGTGATACAAGTATTTCTACGGTGACGGTCATACGCCTGGCTGGTGTTGATAAGCCCTCTAGGGTCTTTATATAAGATGCACTTGAAGGATCTAGGAAGGATATTGCAGAGAATTTGGGCAATAATGAGGCCAAGTACGGCCCAATTTGGGAGATTATAGATGACAAGTGGGATGGGCAGCTCCATAGACCATTGCAAAGGTACTACTTGAACCCCAAGTTCTTTTATGTTGATGATGATATTGAGACAAAGGATACAATTATGGATGGTTTTAATGAGTGCCTTGAAGTGTAAGTGTTGTGAAGTCA